TTGAAAGCTCCGTAAAGTTGGCTTCACCTGCGAATATTCTAGGAGTGTTCGGAAGCGAACGTTCTAAGAATGTTGCACATATGAATGTTCAAAGGGGAACGTTCCGAGAACATTGTGCATACGAATGTTCGCCAACAAACGTTTTTAGAATGTTGAGCAGCATACCTTGTAAGGAATGTTCGCATACAAACGTTCCTAGAACGTTCCGAATGGTGTTTAACGTTCCTTCAACATTCAGAACACCCAGGGAATGTTCGCGCGACATTGGATGCTACGTGGGAAGCTTTTTTGGAACTTGTCAACTTTTACAGCAGATTTCTTGAAGGGAAAGCTGAAGTTGCTGAGCCATTGCACCGCCTACTAGACCAAGGAAGAAAATGGGCGTGGACGCGGGAGCATGAGAAAGCGTACCGGAACCTAAAAGGGCTTCTCAGCTCCGACGCAGTGTTAGTACGCTACGACCCAGCCCGTCCACTGGTCTTGTCGTGTGACGCTTCACCGGTTGGTGTTGGTGCAGTTCTTTCTCACAAGGACGATGATGGTGCAGAAGTGCCGATAGCATATGCGTCACGAACATTGGGGCGAAGTGAGCGTAATTACGCTCAAATCGACAAAGAAGGGCTTGCTGTAGTTTATGGTGTTAAGCACTTTCACCAGTATCTCGCGGGAAGAGAATTCACGATCGTGACCGATCATCAACCGCTTCTTGGGATTTTTGACACAGAGAAGCCAATGCCAGAAATCCTGTCACCGAGGATGCTGCGGTGGAGCTTGCTGCTGGGAGCGTACGACTACAAGCTTGTGTTTCGATCAGGAATCGACAACACCAACGCAGACGGGTTAAGCCGCCTTCCAGCACCAAGCGATGTCGACGAGCCAGTGCCACCAGGTGACGTACTCCTCCTCGAGGCCGTCCAGTACCCTCCACTGCAGGCAGCAGACATCGGAAAGCTGACAAAGCAAGACCCTACGCTGGCAAGAGTCAAGCAATGGATACTCTCGGGTTGGCCACAAGAAACCCTGGGAGGATCTTTTGCACCTTTTGAGGTGAGACGCACAGAACTTTCCTTGCATCGAGATTGTATTCTGTGGGGAAATAGAGTGGTCATTCCCGAGCAAGCCACAAGGAAGGTCCTACAATTGCTTCATGCCAACCACCCAGGAATGACAGCAATGAAAACGTCGGCCAGGGCGTACATTTGGTGGCCTAAAATCAATCAAGCGATCGAAGACTTTGTGCGCCATTGCCAACAGTGCCAGGAAAACAGGCAGAGCGATCCAAAAGCACCTGTTCACTTTTGGATAAAGCCAGAACAGCCCTGGAGCCGCCTGCACGTAGATTTCGCTGGACCCGTTCGAGGTGAAAGTTTTCTCGTTGTGGTGGACGCCTTTTCTAACTGGGCCGAAGTCGAGATTATGCCGTCCACGAAATCAGCTGCAGTGATTACGGCGCTGAGGAAGCTATTCGCGACACATGGGTTGCCCGACGTAATTGTGTCGGACAACGGAACGGCGTTCAAAAGTGCAGAAATGAAAGAGTTCCTGAAACTTAATGCTGTTCGCTTCATCTACACAGCCCCGTACCATCCTGCGAGCAATGGCAGGGCAGAAAGAATGGTGAGGGAAGTCAAGTCTGCCTTAAAGAAGCTAACTCAAGGCGACACACAGTGCAAGATTTCACGTTTTTTGTTTAAGCAGCACACGACACCACACTCGGACACCGGGAAGACTCCGGGAGAGGCGATGATTGGCCGGAGGCTGCGGTCGCCGTTGGACAGACTGCATCCTGACCTCCAGAGAGATCCAGGAGCGGAACAACCAAAGGTCAAGCGGTTCTACGTAGGCGACACCGTCTACGCCCGAAATTTTGTGACGGGACCACGATGGAAAGCAGCAAAGGTTGTTGCAGTCACAGGACCAGTCTCCTACAAGGTACAGCTGGCCAATCGAGAAGTTCATCGCCGTCATCGTGATCACCTCAGGAAGGCTTGGCTTGACTGGGATGAGAACCTTGAAGCTGACATTGACTACGACGTCAAGCTGCCACTAACGGCTGCGCCTGGACATGGAACGCCACAAGCATCTCCTGCCAGGCGAAACCCAGAAAGACCTGTTCCTCAGGTTGTGCCATCGCCAGCGGCTCAGCCGGAGCAGCCGCTCAGAAGATCAGCACGAGAGCGACGTCCAGTCATCCGCTACGGAACTGTTCCTACCTAAGGGGGAAGGAATGTAATATAGTGCAACAATGCCGCGGTTGCATGACCGGCAGGCGTGACCGGCGCGTGAACTCTGAGGTGCGCGAGCTGCCCCCGCGCTCGTGTGTTCGATCATCGGCAACCAGCCATGGTCACTGAAGAACGCCTGTCTCCATTAAAGATGTATGTTGCCGTCATGACTCGGCTTGCATAAGCCACGTTGTGCTTGACCTATCTGCTCTATTTTTTTTTTCTCGAAATTCAGCTGCGTCATATTTAACAGGATTAACCATCACACAAAAAAAGGTTATAGCCTGTTTGAGATATCAATAGCCTATTTGGAAGCGAACCCTCTCCTGCACTGCTTACGTTGTAACCGACTTGCGCTATCAGTAATAATAAGTAACTAGCCCGACCCGGCTTTCACCAGCGGCGGAAACAAGCGGAAGCTGTCGGTAGCGGCGGCGTTCATCGGCCTCCCGGAGATCGTGTTCCTTGACGAACCATCGGCGGGCGTCGACATCTTGGCGCGCCAGAAGATTTTCTCATCACTGCAGGCCTTCCGGTCGAAGTCTGGATTGTCGCTCGTCCTCACGTCGCACAGGTGAGAGATCGCGCCGCCTCAGAAGTCTGAGTACGGACTGTGCCAGAGTGAACGCGAAATACCAATCATCCTAATTTCCTTAAAGACCGACCAACAAGCAGAAAAGAGGAAACTCTCTCTCTCTCTCTCTCTTTCTCTCTCTCATTTCCTCCCTTCATTTGGAGAAAGAGGGAGAACCTCTTCCTTTCTGCGGGGAGTTGCTGCGAGATGGGGAGAGGAGGAGAGAAGAGTGCAAGAGGGAATGTACAGAAGGAAACTGGGAACCGGTTTTCTGCACGGCAGAAGATAATTATGTAGGTCAGCCTTTAAATCAGTTGGGAGTCGCCCCTGTGCCTCCGCTGAGAAGCGCCGCCTTCCAGATCCCCAGTCCGGAGGTTCGAATCCTTGCCGAGCTAGGTGCCCGCAATTTGATGGAGGCTTATCGCGAAAAAATCTCTCTGTAAACGAGATTTCAGTTGCGCGTTAAAAGCTCTCCAGGTCCAAATCAATATTCAGCCCGTCGCTGGGGGGGGGGGGGGGGGGGGGGGCGGACATGCCCTTCGTTCAACACATTTTACACAAACCCCCAAGGCTCGGGAAAAGACGAAGGCACGTAAAATCACCGAATTCGACTTTAATCACTTAGATCAGTGAGAAGGGCTGGTCAGTATCACGTTCCCAAGGTCACGAGACCTGATTGGGGAAAAAAGGCGTTCGCCACTTGTGCCACCGAGAGCGCACATCATTTAAGCCCGATTCTAATCACGCTTGGTATAGAGAGAAAGACTAAACATTTTCTTTTCGCCCAAAACTTTGTTCTGGGTCTTCATGTCCGTGGCCCATATCGACACCGCTGACAACGAGCTCTAAGTTATTGAATTCACGCATAACGGATCCCAGTGCGTTCTCAGCAGCAAAGGACTCCGAAATGACCGCAAGTGAAATATAGTACCACACATACAGGATGTTATGAATCGAGGAGCTCACCCCAAACTAAGCCGAACAACTCGGCACCTGCACCTAACGGGCTCAAAACTTTATCTAAGGTGTATTATAATCCTGAATTATAATAGTGAAATTTCAAGGGTTTGCGTGTTTCCTGTGAAAACCTGTGAGAACATTTCATATTTTCAACGGTGGGCATCGACGCAAACGATCGAGTCACCCAAAAGTCGTACTCGTGGTGCCGCTTTCGGATAGACGCAGTAAGTAAATGACTGCGTCGTCCGCTTTCGACCGAGTACTTCCAGCGCCCGGGAGGTGGCGCCACAAGTGCACGACTCTATAATAGGGTCTTTAACAACTCCAGAGGCCCTAAACTTGTCAAATACGAAGTTGGCGCCAAAAGTTCGCGGAGCGCGCCGATTGGACGTTGGCAAAAAAAGTGCGAAGTCATCGTCGTGATAGTCCAATCGGGGCGCTCCGTGAACTTCGGCACCATCTTTGTGTTTGACAAGTTTAGAGACCGACCCGGTCAACTCTGCCATCTGCGTCGGAGCCCGCCGTGGAAAATTTCCAAGAATGTCCTTAGTTCTCAAAAGAAGAGAGCGGCGCTTTGAAATTTCGCGAGGTAAAATTCGCCCGTGAAGTAAAAATTTGAGGGATTTAAACTTGCTTAGTGCAAGCGCCATTTTTTTTTTTTTTTCGCTCATTTTACGACGAACTTTTTTGATTCATAAAACAACCTACACCTTCGAGCTTCTGTAACTCTCCTGACGGAACCTAGACTTCGTGTCGACGTTGCGCGAGGATTTTGATGCGGGTTTTGATGCGAAGTTTAATCTGGGTTTAGATCTTGGTTTTCGATTATGGTTTTTAGTGCGGATGATGATCCGTGTTTCGAGGCGGGCTTTGATGCGGATTCTGACCTGGGTTCTTTAGGCGGGTTTTGAAGCTTGCTTCGATGCAGGCAGTCTTGATGCAGATTTTTATCCGGGCTTTGCGACGGATTTTCGTACGGGTTTTCATGTGGACTTCGGTGCGGGTTTTGATCAGCCTTTGGAGGCTGGTTTTCAGGCAGGCATTGATGGGCTTTTTGGTGCGGGTCTTGATCAGAGTTCTCAGGCGGGCTTTGAGTGCGGTCTTTGTTGTTGATTCTGATCCGAGTTTCAAGGCGGGTTTTCGACAGTCTCCCGAGGCGGGCTTTTATCTGTCTTTTTTTTTTTTTAAGCCGGTCTTTCAATGCTGGTTTTAACGAGAGTTTTGGGGCTTGCGCCATGAAGCATGGACGAGTGCGAGCTGGCCTGCGACCGCATCGGCATCATGGTGGCCGGCCAGTTCAAGTGCCTGGGCAGCCTGCAGCACCTCAAGAACAAGTTTGGCACGGGCTACTCGCTCAACCTACGCCTGGAGGACGGCTCCGCGGTGGAATTGGACGGTTTCGTGGCGGAAGTGCGACGAGTGTTTCCGGGCATTCAACTCAGGGCCCGCTACGAGGTATGCACGCGAGTAGAGATAGGTCAGAGCTGTGGCGCGGAACCAGCACATCTTTCTTCTTTGACCACAAGATCCTAAGGCTGACGTTTTATAACGTCACGCAAAAAGAGGTATCGACCCACAGGACATGGATGAGACTCGAGTGCTGCGTCAGCGTCAGGCAGCGGTTATAGCGCTATTACAGCATAAAAAAAAGACAGTCCGTAGACACCGACTTAGGCGTGCATTGGTCGTACAAAAACTGTCTTTAGCTATGTTCGAAGCATACATATGTGTAAAAAGCAAACATGCTTTCAACGTATGCTTCAGGCGTGTCCGTAAATACTTGTTAGCATGTCATTGTGTCCGCCGCCAACACCGTGTATTAGGCTAGACTCGTTTTTGTTTGTTTGTTTTTTGCCCGTTTTTTTTTATTTTTTTTATTATTAAAGCGCATTTATGCGTCCGCTTGGCCTGCTTTCCAACGGCGTAACTATACGATTTAGAAACACGCGTCTCGGGCCTTTTTTTTTCAATTAGCAGTTTAAATTTATTAAAAATTAAAAATAGTTATTTCGGAGTCAACTTTTTGAAAATATCTAATGTTTCTTTTTTTTTTTTTACTCGGACCTTTGGTAAATAAAAGCTTATGCAAGAAGTCAAAGACAAACACGTGATTTCAACTTACGACGCAGTATAACATTTATTTCGTATGGTTCCGCAGCTACGCACTGGCCAACAAGCAAAAGAAAAGGAAAAAAAATAAGAAAAAAATGACCGCATCTGTACGTGGTGAATGATGTTGATTAGGGCGAAGCTCTGGTGGTGCTGATGATACTGATTTTATTGTTCATAGGTAGTGCTGATGCTGCTGATTTTTTTTATTGCTCATATAGGTAGTGCTGAGTTTCGGGTTGCTTTTCGACGTCATTACTACTGCTTTATGGTCGGTGAAAGGCAGAGCCAGTGGTTCTTCTAGCGGATCAGCGTGGATCCGCTAGAAGCCGTGGGAACGCATCTCCACCCCTTAAGTGAACGTTCCATGTCAGAAAGAGAATGTGTGGTATGGAACATGGTTATATACGCATTTGAGCATTTGACCACAGCGCCCTCTCGTCTATAAACGTTGAGCCAATGCATGCAAAGTTTAACGCGATTATATACGCATTTGACCACAGCGCCCTCTCCTGTATAGACGTTGAGCGGCTACATGCAACGTTTCATCCATGACATCCCCAGCTCTTGAGTTACTACCACATCTCAAAGCTCTCTACTCGTCCCGCAGTCGTGGCCGAATGGTTAAGGCGATGGGCTAGAAATTCATTGGGGCACAAGTTCGAATCCTGTCGACTGCACAAACATTTTTTTTTTATGTGAGCAGTGACGCCGGACGGACGGACGGACGGACAAGGCTAGACCCTAAGGAGCTTCGCCCCTAAAAAAAGAAGAAAGCTATTGTAGTACATGCATACGTATAGCGTACTCTAAAAAAAAATCTGGACGTAAAAGAAATCTAAAGCCGCGTTCACACTGCTTGTACATCATACAAAACACGATCCACAATATCGGTGGTTCGAATGCCGAGTGCGCAAGTGTTGTCCTTGAACTCGTTGCCCCGCGGCATTCGAAACACGAAACTCGCGATGACTTGCGTTCGAATCTGTATGAATACAGATTCGAACGCGAGACATCGCGAGTTTCTTGTTTCGAATGCCGCGGCGCAACGAGTTCAAGGGCAACACTTGGGCACTCGGCATTCGAACCACGGATATTGTGGTGACTCCTGTTTGTAGACTGTCTTTTGTAATGATGCATGAAGAGTGTGATCCCGGCTTTAGGGGTTCTTCGGCTTGTTCATGTTTTACACCCTAGAAAGTTATTTTAAACACCCCTAAAAGGGTTCTTCGTGAAAAACCTATAAGAGGTTGTTTTAAGCTCCACTTTTGACCCAGAAGAGTTCTTCATCGCCCAGTTACCTTTTAGTGCGTCAGGAGGCACTAGTACTTAAGAGGCGAAGCCGTTCTTTACGAGCTGAAAGAGTTCTGGGAGCGTCGAGGAACCTTTCAAGAACGGACTTTGTTTTTAAAGTGTATGCGTACACAACTTTCTGCTGCATGCAGAATTTAGTTAGAGCAATGTGTGCGTGTTTGTAATCGATTTTGTTGGACGCTTTATAGGTGCGTAAGCGCTAACTAACGTATTTCGGCACAACCAAATGAGCCGTACGAGCGCTATTTATCCACGCTGCACGCAAAAAAAAAAAAAACACGCCTAGCTTGGTACAAGCTTGGCAATCCTACCCAGGGGATAACTTGGGCCTAATGCAGTTTTCTACAAGGCGTTAGTCAGCGCCAGTGTATTTTCCTTTAGCGTTCGTATGGCTTTTCTTTGGCTTGCCACCATATCCAAAATGCCAGACTTGAGTCATTGATGTTAGATGACAGCCAGCAGTGACCCCTATATCTGACACTCATTTGGCAGTTTATGCTCAGAGTTGACACTTGAAGACCGAACAAGCTCAGAAGTGAAGCCTGACTCTAGCACATGTTTGGCAATTTAGGCCCAAAGGTGCATCATGGCAGCGAAACTACCCACTGCGAAGCAACTTTCGCACTTGTTTGGCGAATTAGGGCCAAGGCACACAGATGCTAACCAAAGAGGGTCAAGTTTGGCTCTGCCTTGGCGTCTGGCTTTTTCAGGCACTATAAATTTCCTAACAAAAATAAAATTTTTGTTCAAAGCACTGTCCTACCTGGGTAGGCTATACTACATTTAAGGTAGGCTATACTACATTTAAGGTAAGGTAGGCTATACTACCTGTGCTCACATTTGCAATGCAAGAACTGCACTATATTTGACTGCACGTGCGTTTCCATCCGTCAGCTGACAATACTTTCGTTTTGCATGTACTGGAGAAACCAAAAAAAAAAAAAATGCAGCAAAGCGTTTTATTTTAGGTGGCGCTAATAAACTTCACCCGTGTCCGTTGTGGATGAATGAACGCTCCTCTGAGGATGGGCTAATACAATTACCGCATTTTCCGGGCAATAATCCGCACCCGATGTTTATAGTCCGCAGGGACAAATTTGGGGTCAAGAATAAAAGATTTTGCTTAAATAGTCCGCACACGGTGCATAGACCCCATAGTCCGCACGTCGTGCGTAGTTGGCGTTTGGTGCTTAGCTTTTTTTAAAGGGACACTGAACTCGCCAAAATATTTTGAAGTGCCTGGATAGGACACGTATGTCACAAAATAAAGTTTCCGCGAATAACTTTTTAGCCCAATCATGAGACACATCTCGGGTTATGAAAGAATTCAAAATTAGATACGTAGAATCACCTTGAATAAAATATTGTATTTGTTGAAAAATCAGTGCTGATATTTGTGCGTTCTTGCTGCCTTTTCTCGCTCAGATAATTGTCATGTGAAATATTGAACTGCGGGCATTTTAATTGGTTTTTGGGGTATTTATGTGATTAATTGCCTTAATATTATTCTCGGCACAAGAATAACAGAATCAATCCTAATTTTACAAAATATAGCGACGGGTGATGAGTTTAGAATATCTTCACAAAAGGTATAAATCAAAGAAAAACGCTGTTCTTATTACAAAAACTTAAAACGGAAACAGAGTCAGACTGCAGAAGTGCGTGTGTGTGTGTGTGCGTGTGTGTGCGTGTGTGTGTGTGTGTGTGTGTGTGTTTAAAGCAACGCGTGACGCATATGACTTTCTATTACATCCACTGTTTGACTGTTTGTCGATCTTGATAACGATGTCAGCGTTTTTCATATGCTAAAATGAAAACAAAATGGTACCTTTCTGGAACGACTATTATGGTTAAATGGCGTATTTTTATAATCGCGATGTTTACTGGGGCCTACATTGCTGCAGTTTGTATTAATAATAACAATACAATTAAGATATTTTAAAAGGGAGGTTTTTTTTTCAAGCTCTAATAAGACTTGTTGCCTATGAGATCTAATTTCAAACGCGTGAACAAGTATGGCTATCAAGTGTGCAAATTATTATCACTGTTGCTAATTACCGCATTTTTAATTAACAAGTTATAAAATAAAATACTACTCTAAAATTAATGTAATCATTCTTGCCAATCTGAGAAATTCATGTCAAATAATATTAATTCTGGGTAAAGCATACTGTGTTATCAAATTCGCAACTTTTGACAATCGGCAATACTTCCAAAGTTGCCGGTAATCCTTCCAGACGAAATGCTCCAAAATAAAAATAAAAAATAAAAAAAACGAGTTTTTTGTTATTATTATTAATCACTTCAGAACATTTAGTCCATTTAATTTTTACACGCCGTCGCTTTGCCAATCTTAGCCTTTCCAGTTCGAAGGAGCGCCTCCAGCTTTCATGTCTGCTCTCTGCAGCACGTTTCATTGGCATTGGAAGCCGGTGAAAGAGTAAAGAATTTCACTATTACGTATCCGAGCGAACGCAAGAACCGTGTGCTTGCGTTAGCGTTGCATGTCCCATACGGGGCGTGCGCGGAGCCCAAAATTGCGGTCTTCGATTGGAGCCTGGCGGCGATGTGCATGCGCCGAAGGGGAGCATTCAACTCTAACGCTAACGCACAGGGCTTGCGTTTGCTTCTACACGCAATAACAAAGAAATTCTCCACTAAGGTACAATTTCATACCGGCTGCAGCACTACATTGGGACAGTGAGAGCGTTGTTAGCATTCGTACATCACGTTTCGCGAGTGATGATCGCGAGCAGTTCCGCCGTGCCCGCTGAGCAGGAGAACCGGAGGACCCTCACTAGAGCACTTACCGTTTCCGCCGAGGGAGGGCGAGCAAAAAGCTGGAGACTTGAATACTGTACCCCCCCCCCTCTCCCCCCCCCCCCTCTCCCCTCTTCTCTCCCCCCCCCCCCCCCCCCCCCCCCCCCCCCCGATCCGTCAACCCAATTGAGTCTCACGCTCCACCAGGCTCTGAGGAGGTCGCATTTACGCTGCAACCGCAGAGGGTGGCTCCCACAAGTAAGGCATCCAGTGAGCGCTGACGCGCTTATACCTTGCACGACACAGGGCCGCTTCGCGCTGTCCGGTCTCCACGTGTGTGCACCTTCTCTCCACACTAACACATCACATTATGTGTTACCACCTTTGCCACGCTAGAACGGCAAAGGGTCGACATTCTTGTAATTTGGCGTCTTGTCGCGTTTCCAGGACACCTTCGAGTATCACATGGAGGAAAAACTCCTCTGGAGCGTCCTCTTCACAAAGGTAGAAGAACTGGAAAGGAAGTTTAAGCTGGCGCACGTTTTAGCGTCGGACAGCACCCTGGAGCAGATCTTCATCCAGTTTGCTCGCGAGCAGGACGCCAAGGCTGAGCAGGGCACTTCAGTGGCGAAAGGTCCGGTCCTGCAAAATGCAGTGCCGAGGGGTCTGCACCCCGATCGATCGAAGTCAAAAGAAAGTAGTAAGGAATAAAAGCTACCCGAATAGCCAAATGTCTAAATAAAGTATATCGTTAACACCTGAACTAACGTGCCCAGAGATTGGTAATATTAATTTTACAGTTCACATTATCGCGCGATATCCCTCCCATCTCTCTCGCCCACTTATTCAGCTCACCTCATTTTGAAGGTAAACTTTTGGCAGCTCTCTGCCTGGTTAGGGGAAGACATCAACTCTAACCTTAAGTTTAGTAAACAGAACTGTTTAATAAACTTGTGGTTAGAGTTTGTAATTTTTTCATCTCCTATATTCGTTCTTACCTGAAGGAAAAAAAATTTTCGCAGTGTTTATACTTCGCGCGAAGTAGTTCTTATAAGGTTTGCCTCTCGGAAGAAAAAGTGGCGCTTTTGGCGTTTGAAACGTGTGCGTCTTGATAAGATAACATATATCTGATCTAAAATTTACCTACGTATGTCTTAATTCTCTACCATAGCCTCATATGTATACTGATGTTGGCTGCCCGATTGTCAGTTGCCATCTATCACCACAAGGGTGCTCTGCTCCCCCATACAAGACAGAAAACGTGAACGAAGTGACACAAGAATGCAAGGACTCTCTTGCGTCCTTCCATTCTTGGTGCTATCTTGGGCATTTGGCGTGGTAGCTGTGGATCCCTCTTAGGTAATTAGTTCGTTTTTTTTTTTCTTTTTACCATGCTTTTTGCCGCGTTCTAGGCAGACTTGCAAAAAAAGGTGCGACGGTCATTAAGGAAGCCTGTCTAGACAGTCCTTCCTTAGCGTCTCTGAGTGAAACCTCGGCAATCTGCTGAGGCTTCTCTCAAAGCCCAGCTTGGTTCGGGCCTCAATGTCGTCAAAGCAGGATGAGCTTTGACCACACTGCCACGACCTCTTTCGCGCTGCTTGACTTACTGACCTGGCCATCTCTCTCTCTCGCACCTCGAGGTAGTGGCAGGTGCCTGACGAAAGCCACAGTACGTCATGTACGAAACGTGAGCCCTGGCACCTCTAACACCTGTCACACTTACTAGGGGACTTCGTAGTGGTTGGAACTCTATAGCACACTGACCGTTTCAATTTCTCTTCACCTTCTGATCTTGGCCTCGCCCTTGACCAGGGACGGATCCAAGGGGGGGGGGGGGGGGGGGGGTGGGGGGGCGACGGGGGCGGCCACTTCCCCCCTCCTTCAGACAAAGTCGACCCCCACCCCTCCCCCCTTCTCGGAGGGCAATTTGGCATGGGTGGACCCCCCGGTGCACAAGAAAGAATCGGATAATAGTATCCTTACAAATTTTCTGCCCCCCCCCCCCCCCCAAAAGAAAAAAAAAACGGAGTTCTGGATTCGCCCCTGCCCTTGACTTCAGCAATAGAAACTTGCAGCTTATTTATTTATTTATTTCAAAATACTGCCAATCCCCGAAGGGATTATTGCAGGCATTGGTACATAATAAAAGATACATGTGAGGCATTTAACAACGGATGAACAACACTTCTCGTCATTCAAAACATCCAATAATTTCGAAAAAAGTTCATCTTCGACTGCATTCATAAATGATTCAACAGTGCCGTGACTGAACACGTGTGGATCAAGGCTATTCCAGATTCTAATGGCAGAGGGAAAAAATTAATGTTTAAAAGTGTTATTATGAAACGAATAGTCAACAAGTGTATGGCTGTGCTTGTGTCTAGTCGGTCTTGTGTTAGACAATTGAACGTACTTGGATGAGTCAATCTTAAAGGCGCCTTGTAAAAGAAGGTAGAGAAATTTCAGACGATTTAATGTTGTGCGGTCAGTAATGGTCTGTAAACCTGCTCTTTTCAGAAGCTCTGTGGGGGAGTCAAAACGACCATACTTATGATAAACAAACCTAATTGCCTTTCTCTGGAGGCTTTCAAGTGTGTTTATGTTTATATTCGTGTGAGGGAACCAAGCAATATTTGCGTATTCAAGCACTGGACGTATAAGGGTTTTATATGCTAGGAGTTTTGTGTCACAAGACGAACATTTTAAGGTTCTCTTCAGAAAGAATAATTTCGTGAGAGCTTTATTAAATACATATTTAACGTGTGCGTTCCAGTTAAGATCAGATGTCATCAAGACTCCTAGGTACTTATACTCGGTGACTCTATGCAAAGGTTCATCTTTAAGGCTTTATTGAAACTGGTCGCTGCTTCGACATTGTGAAAGTTTACAAGCTCGTCCCCCTGGCCTGTAATTCGTGTTGGGTCATACCTACTGACCCCTACATTTATTCACTTTTGGAAACTACATCTGTTGCTGCTCACAGTTATGAAATATGCGTTCTGAAAATTTTGAAATTACGTACGTTGCGGTAGTAGCGGTGCGCAGCAGACAAGTATCGTCTTCATTGCATGGGGAGGTGGCACTCCTGGCGGTGGTTATGTGAAGCAGGCGCAGAGGCGCTTGGCCTCCGAGATATTTCCGGCGCTCTGCTCCGGCCCGTCCAAACCACCGGCTTTCCAGTAGAAAAAGGCCAGCACAGCCAGAGGTCAAATTTACGAAACGATCTTACGCTAAAAATGCGTATTGCGCACTTTTTTACGATCAAATCAACATGGCCGATAGTATCGCTCAGTTACTTGGTCGCGACGACCAACGGGCATTTATTTTTCTACGCGCTCTTCTCGCGCGTCCCGACTTCAAGCAACAAGAAAAAAGAAAGAAGTACTTGAAACCATACTTGTGCCTATCTCAAATATTCTACTCGAAATACTGTATTTCAAGTACTTTTTGAAGTACCTTGGTATCTTGCAAATACTTTTGATTGAGAGTATTTGATAATGTATTTTAATTACATTTCTGAGCATCTTGTGCTCATTATCTCAAATACATTTTTGACATTCTGCCATTTTCCGAGTTTTTCGGTACGAAGTGGCGTGGGCGTGGCACGAGCAAACGTGAACATTCTTTCTCGCAACCAAATCCTTTCGCTAGCTCCGATAAGCTACGGTGACTTAGATTGAGCTCGTGAAAACATCGCTTTTGTGCCGATTGTGATTCATATTTCACCCCAAAGTTCGTACAATTAAGGTTTTCCCCTCGAGTTCCCACAGGTGTCTTTTGTTTATAAAGTTTCCCCCAAAAAATCTTCAAACAAAAGTGGTGGTTTTACGAAAGCAAAGATTGCCACAGTGAGGCGCAACGCAGAACAGGAAACAACCCACGAAAACAATGCAGACTTAAGTGTCAAGAAATTACCAAACAGGAGAAAATGAGAAGTGGGCACAAAAAGAAGACACTTTTTTTTGCTTGTTATATATTTTACCCTGCTACGGCAAAACATAAATACTTCTTTGTTTCTTTTTTTCGTTTTTTGTCAGTCCGGCATTTATTGCTTTCGCGCCACACTGTCTGTAAGCGAACATTGATAAGCAGAGAACAGGACAGGAAATGAACTATGAGCAGGATGACCTCTCAAAACACCAACAAAGCGTCCCCCTACGTTGAGTGCCTTTCTGAACGCAACCGACTTAAAGAGGTTGTGACCAGCGCCATGGCTATAATGGAGGCTCTCTTTGCTATCCATTCACTCATTTCCGTATCCCAAGTTAGTTTATAGTGAACTCCCCATTTAGGGAATATAAAACGTGATATTCAACGATGTCACCATACCTAAAGCGACCTCTTTTTTTTTTTTTCTTTTTGGTCCCAGAAATGTTTTGTAACATATATCAGTGATATCCTGTTCCTTATAGTTGGACTGCGAAAAAAAAAACTACAATGTATTTTTGTTGTACCGTTTTGTACTGGTGCGTGGTAATAAACTATTATGGTAAACGGAAAAATCTTCAAAAGTAATTGAATTGCATTTCTAAGTATTTTTATCCTACTCAAGATACTTAACAATACAAGTAACTTGAGTCGTATGTTAAGTACTTTATGAAGCAGGTATTTTGTGACTTAACTACATTTATCGAGTACTTTGTCAAACACTGTTTGAAACCGACCACGACGGACATGAACGCTGGATCCACAAACACAGGCTCAGCTGTAGCGATCTCACCAACCAAGTGGCCGCCAAGCAGTGGCAATCAGTTCATCGACTACGTTTCATCGGCACGCGATGTTTCATCGACAGATTTGTTCATCGACAAATTGCTTTATTGACAGTTCAGATTAGATTTTTTTTCTTGTGATAAGCTGCATGAGACTGTCGCAAAGCGGCGTGTACAGGTCGGCTAGGTGGGTTAACATTTTTGTGATGAGCCACCGCAAACTGTCGCCACGGAGCGTCGTGAACGCAAGCGGGGAGAGGGGGAGGGGGGGGGGGGGGTTAAACGCGACCCCAGTGATACACACGTGACGAAATGTGCCTACAGCGTGCAATTCGCGTAACGAGGGTCAACGAGACATGTGTCCATGTAAAGTTGTCTACGAAACGAGTTTCAACAAAAAGATAGGGCCCCTTGAACCCTTGCCATACGGCAAGGGTTCAAGGGGCCCTATCGTTTGGTTTGATATAGTTTGATCGCTGATTACAATTTTAGATTAATAGGTCAATCTCTTCCCCTGGTCGTCCCCTTGTTTTCTGAGGCAACGGTGACAAATGCTGCTATCGAAAAGGTACTTTCATCGATTCTATCTCCTTGTTTCGTGTGATACAGACCTCAAATAAACGTCGTATGGATTACCCTCGCAACACATGGTATGTAGTATGCTTTGTTATCAGTATGCCATTTTTATTCCGACATGACGGTGTGTCAACACTGTCGAGCTAAAACACTTCGTGGGAGCTACGCGAAGCCATAGGTTCAAAAGTTCCCTCTTGGATAGTGTCTCCCCTTAAAGGAGCTGTGCAGCGATTTTAACCTGGAAAGAATTTGCATCATCTACTTTTGACATTGTTTATCTTGTCAGAAAGGACAGAAAACACGCCTCCTTCCTTCGAAATGTTGCAATTCCACCGCGTAATCGCGAGGTAGAAGTGAGAATATTTCCCGACCTGCAGCCGCAAGCGGCGGCCATGAGAACCACGCGGCATGACGTCAATGGGGGACTTGTAAAAAGATAGGAAGTGCGCAAATACCTGCTCGATGGAAGGTAATTATTCTATAAATCTTGTCTTTCCAACATAAATATAAACACGTCAAAAACCTGGTATCATCGACACAACTTTTAATATACGGAGTTTTAATGGCGCCATCTATCCGAGGTCAACAAAACCGTCAGCTCTATCTGCTACCGCGAACAGTCGCCAGAAGCCGGAGGGGAAAGGACGCAGACCTGGACGGACGGTGGATGGCGGGACCCAGACACGAGGCTCTCCTCCTCTCAACATGCTGATCGCGCCACGTGACCACTCGCTCGCGCACGTGGTCGCGAGCCGGTAAGTTCTCGCTGCTCACTGATGGCTCTAGAGAGAGACCTTCACCGGAACCCCGCGGGTCCCCCATTGACGTCACAGCGCACATGACTCGGAAGATAGTGAAGGAGTTGAGAGGTACCGAAAACCTCAATCTTTGTTCATTTTTAAAATAAAAACTAAAACATGCAGCCAAAAGCGTTTTTTTTTTTTTTTTTTTTTAATTCTTTACTTTTGAAAGGTCGAGGCACCAACTCCCAAATGATTTAAGCAAAGCACTAAAAGTGTTGCACAGCTCCTTTAATGAAAAATCAACATACACCAGTTTTTCTTTTTTTTTTTTTTTTTTTTGAAGAAATTATTAGTTTAGGTCAACAAAACAGATCTGGGCAACGTTTCGTCCATGATGTCATATCCTTGCAACAACCCCCCCCCCCCCCCCGCCCCTTCCTTTCCCAAGGCTGACCCATAAATCCACCCCCGTACCTTAGCCGGGTGACAAACAGAGACTTCCAGGTGCCCTAATTTACACGACGGGATGAAGCGGTGCGGGACATCCCCGCCTGCTGCGATTGGTGATGTCCCGGTCCCTTCGTCAAACTTTTTTCCCGACGTGTAGATCAATTCCCAAAAAACTCCTTTCCATTTTTTTTTCTTGTTTGTTTATCTTACAAGTTTAAATTGACTACGTGTTATTGGGATTTTCCGAACAGAGTATACGCACAAATAGCGCGGATCTTCCAGAACCAAGGAACGGGAGGCCTTACTGAGAAATGGCGATGTTTATTTGTTGTTTATTTGTCGCTACAGACGCCACTTACGCACATTTTCTATCAGCCAGAAGTGAAGTCTTAAGAAATGCAGGATTCTACCACGGAGAGGTTTTAATTCATGGAGAATTTCTATACATGGAATACATCATGACGTGCATACATGAGGCGAGCATAATAAAAGGCGTTATACTTTGTCTCACATTAGCACGGACTAACTGCGAAGGCTGTACAAGCGCGAGCGGCTAGCTTGACTGCCTTGACTGGAACACTCGCTGCACTAGCGCTTGTGTAGCTGCCGAGGCTTCATCCAAAGCAATTAGCACGCGCTTTTAACATGCGCGGCTAACAATAGTTCATGCTAACGTGAGACGGAGTATAGTATAATAGTAAATACATGGGTGATCTATTTACATTGAAACAATAATTGATTCGCTTGGTCTCGCAATTCAAGACGTCTACACCGACAAGGTGAATACTTCATGGACTTAAAATAAAACGTGTTGATACGTTCTATACACGAACGTTCTTGCATGGGAACGCGCGCGGAGCACTGACAGGCATACACTTTCGGCTGCAAGTGTGCAAGCTGGTAGAGATCTAACATGCTCCGTAACTATATAGCGCAAACAAAGGACAAACTAAAAAAAAAAAAGTTTCGTTTGTTCTTTGTTTGTGCCACTGTTTTCGTTTCTTTGCATCACGCTCATTCGGTGCATAGGAGCATAAGAGCCTCCTCCGGCGCCACGGGCGCCGCCCATTATCCTCGGCGCTTGAACAGGCTACCGATGAATCTGTTGATGCGCACAGGCTCCATCTTACCGCCGCCACCGACCTGGACGTTCCAGTTGGCGGGATTGACGAGCCTCAGTGAACCACGCACCAAATCGGACATGGCCACCACTCCGTTGTTGACGGCCAGCTGGAAGCCGTCGTACGCGTGCATGAGGTCCTGGCCCGCTGCCGGAATGGCGCTCGAGTTGCCGGAGATGGAAAACGACGCGTTCTTGAGACTCTGTGTCATCGTGGAGATGAATTCCCTGAGCGGCCTGGTGCCCTGCGTTCCCTGCGTGCCGGCTCTACGCATGACTTCCGGCAGAGAGCCCGTCAGATTGCGGACCAGGACCGTGAAGTTGCCCACCGTGTTCTGCGTCAGTTTAACCACATCCGCCTTGGGGAGTGACCTGGTGATGTCGTGGATGTTCTTGAGGTCCTCCTGGATCTGGAACTTGAGTTGGTTGACCGTTGGCGTGACGGACTTGGCACCGGCGGTCGCCAGACTGCCGATCGTCTCCAGGGTCTTGTTGAAGTTCTGAAAGGAGGTCTGGACGCGCTGCCCGGATGTGACCGTCTTGGACATGTCTCGGAATACGTGGTCGGCCGTCGTGAGAGACCGGTGGAACAGCGTGTTTTCGACATTGGGGATGCGTAGACGTTGGAAGCTCTTCTGGACCGTTTCGAGGTTCTTGACAATGTTTCCATTTAGGCGGTGGAGGGAGGAAATGTTCCGAAGGGCTGCGCCCAAGTCGCCGATGTCCCGGATGCGGAAATGGCTGGTGATGTTGGACTGTACGCGTCTGTACAAGTCTACTGCGCACTGCGATATGGGACAGTTGGTTAGTAGTGCCATGATTTTTTGGTGGTGTCTTTTTATGGTTGCACCGTGACATCATGAAGAGGATGAGCCCAAAGTTACTTGAGTAGCGTGGTTACCTAACTACCCAGAGACGCCCTTCCACGAGCAGTACCCACCCCCCTCTCTATCTCTCTCTCCTCTCACGGCCCGCCTCCCGTCCCGTCGTTCGACGCGACATCATTTTGAGACGGCTGCAACTACAGCTGTAGTGCAACGGTAACCGTACTCTTTGGAACACGGTTTGGAACGAAAATCTAGATGGTGCTTCAAACAACGGCAGGCTAACGGGGGGCTAAGGTGGCGGGCTGAAGGAGGTAAGGGGGTATACCCTCTCCGCGGGAGTTCCACAACTGGGATAATCTATAGAAGATTGCAAACAGGGTATCTGGCGGCCGCCTTGTTCCTCCTTGTGTGAGCAAGTACGTACAATAGACCTTTTGCTAAATTATTCAAGCACCAAGGTGCATGCTGCGAGTGTAGTTACACGCGTCGCACGTGCTGGCGTCTGCGGAAGTCACTGCTCTAAAGCAAAAGTCTAAAATAAATGGCATCTTGCACGTGCGTTCGTCAACGCCTTATTTCGGTTATTTACTTCGAATCTTTTATACGGGGAAGTCGAGCGCATGCTGCGCGTGTACCTACATTCCCAGCATTCTTCTTGATGCACGGGTAATTTAGCAATACGTCCATCGCAGGCCTGCCAAATATATCTTCCCGTTCGTGCTGCACGCGCTTGTACGCATGGGACACCAGTCGGGATGCTATCCGACTGGCCGCCGTTAATTCTCTGGTCTTGCGGTGAAGCCTGCGCAACTGCAAGCTTGCCAAAGCTATGTTCACGCGCGTGCTGCACACGCTTGCACACGCGTCAGGGCAGTCAGGGCGCCTCTGGTGCCCCATGCGACGCAAGCACGTGCAGCGTGTGCGAGAACGTATACCATCGGTGGAAAGCTTGTAAATGCACGCACTTGCCGGCACGCGCAGAGACGTGGCCTGACTGATGCCCCATGCGTGCAAGCATCTGCAGCGTGGGCGTAAACGTAGCTTTGGCAAGCTTGTAATTGCGCGTCCTTGCCCGCACGAGCAGAAACATGGCGGCGGCCAGTCGCCCTGCTTGCAATTACGTGCCAATGCAAGCTTGCCAAAGCTTGCAATTGCACATAAGTACGAGCAATTGCAAGTACAAGTGCGTGCAATTGCAAGCTTGCCAAAGCTGCATTCACGCACACGCTGCACATGCTTGCACCCATGGGGCACCAGTCAGGCGCCACGCTTGCAATTGTCTATAGTGACGTTGTATTTTCCTCGCCGTGACGTCACGAGCCACTTATTAGCTTTGTTCGATTTACCTGCACATTCTGCACCGGTGCAGAAAAGTGTATGGCGGTGTACTTTCGGCATGTGTATTGAGATACGACCGGAAGCACACCGCCCCAGACTTTTCTGCACCTGCACCTTCGGCACCGGTGCAGGAGGTGCAAGTAAATCGAACGAAGCTACTACACTCTCAAGAAAAAAAGGTGTATCGTTACACCCTTTGTCCCATGTAATACACCCCAAAACTTCATTTCGACGTACTGACGACCCCGAATTTTACGAGGCGCTTGATAACGGTGTGATATAACTTAATCAATAGCTAAAGTACGAATCAAAGACCACATAAAGAAAACACCGAGTTTTTACAGTAGGGCCAAAAAAAAAAACCGATTATTACTCTTTTTTTTCTTTTTGCAGTCAGTAAAACGTACATTAGCTATTTTAATAAGTTGTACCACACGGCTAAATAGCCCCTCGTAAAATTTTGGGCCGTCTGTTCGACTGTAAGGCGCTGTACGTCGAATTGAAGTTTTGGGGTGTATTATACGGGACAAAGGGTGTGATGATACGCCCTTTTACACCCTTTTTTCTTGAGAGTGTACAGTCAGTTTCACCTTACATCTAGACGCAGCTGACGTTACGAGCTATCCTAGCCCATCCCGCTCTGTGAACGTAGCCCATGACACGCTTTCCGCGCGTCGCTGTGCCCCCTCTCTAAGGTCACGTGACACTCACACGACCTTGGATTGACTCCGATGGCTCGTAGCAGCCGCTGCGCTCGGACGTAAAGGGAAACGGAGTAGGCTTATCATCAGTCCTAAATGACAAGTTCGATGAAGTAACCACGGTGGAGGCTTGGAGCCATCACATTCCTAAGTTAACACCGTCAAAGTTGAGTGTGACGTTAGTCTTATTTCCGTTAATGGAAACAAAATGAATCCAAGTAAAGACGCCATGGCGAACGTTTATAGTAAATCGTGGAATGCCGAGCACCACGACGCTTTTGGTCGTACATGTGGCCAATAGTTTATATGTTACAGCACGAGGCTCGTGATAGTGATATTGCGGCGTCGGTACTCACTTCATTGAACTTGATGATGTGGACTGAGTTGTTGCCCTGTGTTCATTGAAGAAAAGGGTTAGTGGTAACCGCAACACTTGCTGCATCGCCAAGGTATCGAACATGCCATGCATTATTTTACTTACTTGCGTGACACCTTCTTGTAAGCACTGCAATAAAAAAAAATTAAGCCGCGATTTTTTTTTTTTAATGCTGGTAAACGTTTTGAAATAAGTGGAATAAAACGCCTCACATTTGAAAACTTCTCGAAGCCATTAGTGGTGATGTCGAAACTGGTTCCATCCGCCAACCGAACGTTAAACTTTTGGTAGTCGTTAGTGGCATCTTTGGTGACGTTGCCTGTAGGAAAACAAAGTAGGAAACTGAAATTGCAGCCTGTGTTCTTAGAAAAACAAATCTAACGAATGAGTTAGCAGGCAGACGTACTTAAACACCAGACGACAACACAAGAAAGGGCATAACCGCAGCTGTTGAGGTTGTCTCTTATACGAAACTATTAAGATTCACCTCGGGTCTTTTTATTCATAAGAGAAATCACGCATTAGCTAATACTAATAGTGATAAACTTGGCAGTGATGTGTACCACGTGTCAGTTGTATCTGAGCTACGAATTGATACCGAGCATCAGTGCACTACCTCGCGTGTTTTTTTTTTTGTTTTTTTTATTAACGTAGAAGTTTGGGCTAGTTGGTAAGTAGACATGATAAAACAAAACAGCGCAAAGACAAGGACGAAATAGAAGAAACCATATCTGAAAGCATCAGTGCACAGCCTCGCGTGTTTTTCTTTTTTCTTTTTTTTTCTTTTTTTGTAGTTTCGGTAACAGATTGCTTCAGAAAATCTCAATGTGACTAACGCTATGCGCAAAGCACGAAGCAATGTGGGAGTGCCCGGGGGCTGCTGACGATATTGATGATATATGGGCGGCAGTATAAACTCTAAAAAAATCCCGTGCGTCTACTTTCCCGAACACTCGGAGAGCCAATTTACACACTTTTCCACACAACCACTTGGAGAACCAATCAGCGCAACTTATGGAGGCAGCTCAGTGATTGACGATGCCGAAACATATGTTTAGACCGAAAAACGCAGTCTGAGTTGTGACACTAAGCAATGCAAAACGTCACGCTTGCATTGCTTAATGTCACAACTCAGGCTGCGTTTTTTGGCCTAAACATATGTTTCCTCATCGTCATTCGCTGAGCTGCCTCCATAAGTTGCAGTGATCGTCTCTCCGGGTGTCGTGTGGGGAAGTAGACGCACGGGCTTTTTTTAGAGTGCACAAGTCTCTTTATAATTTACTTAGCTGAGTGCGTGAATATGAGCGCAAATATAAATGGAGTCGCGAGCAGAACATACTGGATTTCAGCTCGGCAACAGCGAACAGCAGAAAGAGCAAGGCGCAGCCGAAACTCCTCCTCAACATTGCTGACGTGGACATTACACAGCTGGAACAGAACGCAAGAGAAGATATACATTCATATGCAATCAGTCAATCAGTCGTCCCATTAATCTCACTGAGTCCGGTGGAAAAAAACCTGCGGTGCCCTATCGGAAGTTGACCGAAGGCAAATGTTTGCTTCCAGTGCATCGGCAATAAGTCACGACATCACCGCCAGGTGATGTCGTGACTTTACACTTACTTTACACTTACTTTACACTCAATTCCTACAAACTGTCTTGTAAAACTAAACTTTCTTTTTTTTTGTTATTGAATTGTAGTTTGACCGTACACACTCTAAAAAAAGTCCGTGCGTCTTCTTTCCCGCAAAACATGCGGACAGCCAATCACTGCTGTTTGCGGAATCGGCTCAGCGAATGACAGTGCTGAAACATATGTTTAGACCAAAAGCGAAGTCTGCTATATGTAGCATCAAGCAATGCAAGCGTGACGTTTTGCATTGCTTAATACTGCATCGCAGACTTCGCTTTTTGGTCGAAACATATGTTTCGGCATTGTCATTCGCTGAGCCGATTCCGCAAACAGCAGTGATTAGCTGTCCGCGTGTTCTGCGGAAAAGAAAAGGCACGGGCTTTTTTTAGAGTACAGGTTTACGCATGCACACGGCGGAAGGTCGGTCCTTGGTCAAGACCGAGTGTACAACAGAAACCCTGGAAACGATGTCAGTTCCTTCCAACCTTCTGACACTATCAACGTATAGCAGAAACGGTACAATTCTTCCGTGCAAAAAATTGTATCTTTCACCATGGCGTCAACAGCCTCCCAGAAAAGCTAGGCCCATACAGTACGTGTCCTGTGGTGCAAGCTGTGCGCTCAACAGAGTTCGAAACTCAAAAGCCGTTAAACCGCCACTAGATAAGAAAGAACGTCAACATTACCTCGACTAGTCGGACGTTTTAGGCCAGGTCCAGGTGTAACCAACCATCCACCCAACCAAAAGAGCGCTTTTACTCCACGTATGTCACTTCTCTTCGGCGCCAGCAGCGCGTGTACTGTGATCTGGGACCCTCTGCGGCCAGGAAAGTGAGTGCTGGTGGATCCCGTCTCTGGAGGCGCGCGCACGTGCCCCACAAATGAAAGAAAACCGGCTGCATACGCGCCGAGTCGGGCACCGTCTATGTTTATAGCGGTAAGACTCGCTAGGACCGCCCGGCGAACTGGGTCACCCGCGCACGATTTATTTTGGCGGCGGTATTCGGCGGCGGGCGGACGCGGCATCGCGGTATCTGGGCCGGTCTCGATGGCACGTTGTTTTTCACTCCTTCCGGTTCATCCGAAGACCGCCATAGTGGGAAGGAATGCCCCGCCTTCCTCCCTTCCGCGTGTGCCAGGAGCGGTGCACGCGATGACTTCTCAGCGGTGAGTTTTAGCTCTTGACACCCGCATCAGTTAGGCCTTGATTGCATTATGGCCCTCCCAGAAGGTGAGAGTCACTTCCGGGCTGTCTTTGCATTTGCTTTTTGAAGAAATCATGCACTATAAATGTTCCTCGAGTTCATGTATTTAAAACAAGTTCTGCTTTCTTGTTGTTGTTGTTTTGTTTTTACTTCTTGTTAGGTTTCTGGGAAGTAGTCTCAGTGGCTAGGTATGGCGTTTCACTTCTTTTCCTCCAAGGCGCCAGACACCCATGCAGCGGCGTAGACCTTCTATTTTCCCGGGGGGGGGGGGGGGTGAAGTTCTCTGGGGGGGGGGGGGGGGGGGGGAGTGCTTTTCCGCGCAATTTTTTTTACACCGGAAATTATCAGTAGTGTATTTTAGGGGGTACATTTTACAGCGTATGTATATCGCCATATGTCCGTTGCTGTGTGCGTTATTTTCACTACTAGAGGCTCGTTACACGGCACGTGAACAGCATCTCGGTAAGGATCATGTCCCGGGGGGGCTCTGCACCCCCCCCCCCCCCCCCCGGATCTCATTAGGGGGGGCACGAGCCCCGATGCCCCCCCGTAGTCTACGCCTATGCACCCATGGAACCACCGCAACATCTCCGAGTCAATGTTACAGAGTGCCACATTTGCTGTCGTACTTCACTCCGAGTTTCCAAATTTTCGAATACATTACCTCATCTCTCGTGATACTCTGCACTAGGTACTTATCACAACGTATGTAGAGATATAGTTACCTGGGTCTTAAAAATATCAAACTAAATTAAATTTAAAAAAAATATATTTTGAAATATCACAAAGTAGGGTTTTAGAACGCCGCCATCTTGCTAAAAATTAAAAAAAAATTACAAAGATTTTATTGTTTATAAAAGGTTTATTATCACTACCTATACCGTGTGTCTATACATTCATCCAAGATTACTGTCACGAAGCAATGGGATGTTGGCACAATCTGATCCAATATAGCTATACGGTGCATCGATCTACGGCGTCGATGTAAAATGCACTCGAAAATCAGGCGCCTGCACGTAGAATGCTCACATTTTCAACGAAAGTGTATTTCAGTCGTGGATGCATTCCTGTGAAATTTCTCGGCGCAGCTCCGTTCCTGTGAAAAGTTATAACAAAACATTCTTGAAAATTAAAAAAAAAAAAAAATGTTTACCACTGATGGACGCGGTCGTCCTTCAATGGGTTCAATGGTAGACATTGTGCGCGTTAACTCCGAGCTCCGGAGCGCGAGAGTTTGGAGCTTTTTTTACTAAACGGACAGGAGTGTCGCCGGAGGCTGACTGACTGACTGACACTCAAGCGCGCTCCTCGTGCACCGAGTATTTCTCGGAGCGCGAGAGTTCTTCGCTTTCTTCGCGCTCCGTGACGTCACTTCCCCAAGCAATATGGCTGCGCCGACCAAAAACGTTGTCGAGACGATGATCACTCCCAGACCACTGCCCATTTTCAGTTAGTAGTGTTTAATCCAGCAGGTAATCACGATTTGATTTGAAAGCCATGACAGCAATAAGCGTTCGGAAAAGGTTCGTTCGCGCATCTCGCATGAAAATGAATTCATCTATAAAACGGCGTGCCGATAGCACAGCGACCGAAACGTTGTCGAGATGAGGAGACATTCGGACCGCTGCCTCTTTTATAATGCTTAGCCCAGCAAATAAAGATACTTCGATTGGAGAGCCGAAACATCAGTTAGCGTTGAGGAAAAGGTTTGTTCACGAGTCTTACCTGAAAACTAATTAACCTATCGAACGAGCGTGCCGCGATAGCTCGGCGACAGAAAAGTAGGAATGAAAAAATAGTCAGACCGCTGCCCTCTTTAAAATGCTTAGCCCAGCCGCATCGAATAAGAATACTTAGATTGGAAAGCTTGGCGTTGCGGGAAAGGTTTGTTGATGCATCTCGCCTGAAAACGAATTCATCTATCGAACGGTAGCGTGCCGACAGCACAGCGACAGAAAAGTTGTCGGAATGAGAAGACAGTCGTACACTGTCCAGTGGCGTATCAACTTGTTTTTGAGTGGAGGGGCAAACCAAACCCCCCCGGTCCGGGTCGCTTATTTTTACTAGTGATGGGCCGAAATTTTGACGAATCTTGGAATTCGGCGGATTGCCGAACTTTTCAAAAGATTCTGCAAAGATTCGGCAAAAATACACTGTTCATTTTCATCATCATCATCATCATCATCATTTATTTTCCTTGAGGGCCCGTGGGGCATTATACCATGGGGTGGCAAGAGAACAAAAAGAAATAGAACAGTAAACACAATTATAACACTGTAAGCTAGCTAGGTAGGTTAGATAAAGAGAGGGTAATGGCTTCAACAAATTTAGAAGTATCACTAATAGAAACGATGTTATGAAATAGTGAATTCCAATCCTCGACGGCCAATCGTAGCGTGGAAGTCTGGCGAGAAACAGTTGATCGAATTGGACGTAATTTACTTAGGTTATCTAGACGCGGGAAAATACGATGGGAAGGTGATAGCAGTGATTCTGTGAGGTAGATATTGTGATAAATAATTCGATGGAGAAAGGCGTGATACTTAGCAGCGAAGGGAAAGTGAATGAAGGTTAGCTGATTGGCGTAATCCTAATATGCTGGTATATGGTGAGCAGGGTTGTAAAGTACCTAGGTACAAGTAACTGTAAATCGGTAACTAGGTACTTTTGTTTTACCTGAGGTACAAACCTAGGTACTTTCATTTCTCAGTATCTGTATCTGTATCTTAGATACATTTTCCAGTAACTTGTAACTAAGTGAAGTTACTTTTTACAGGTACTTTTTTTATTCACTTCGTCAAAATTGTAGAAGATGCAATATAACATATAACTGAAAATAAATTATAATTACAGTCTTAAAGCAATTTAACATCACGCAGTGTTTCCACGCAATAAATCGAACTCAAATTTTGCACTTTACAAAACTGAAAATACCTACGTCTGAAGAAACTCCCTCCTGGTTTCTAAAATACCCCTACAAATACTACTTCCAGAGTCACAGTTATAATTACGTGCGGAAAATAGTATTGGGAGACCTTAGATATGTAAATGTTCATTTCACATAATTAAGCACAACAAAACTGGCAGGCTTCGTTGTCAAAACTTATTGCAGCAGTAGAAGGATACAAACATCAAGGGCAGATAATCGAAGCACTCGTACTCTGGCCGAACGGAGACTTCGAGCTCCTGATGTAGTCTGCCACTGATGGCTGGGCTGCTGTTATTCTATGTTGTGGAGGCCCTGTGCTACATTCGGGTCTTTCCTTGGGTGCCGCGGCTTTCCGTTTTACCCTGTCGACATTCGTCTTGCTCTTGTCGACACTCTTTAGTGCTTCCTTGTGAGACCTCTTAAAAAAGCAAAGCATGGCTAGTTAATACTTATTGCACCGTATCAGAACAGCTCAGCGGCGCAGGACACTAGTCCAACTAGGTTTTAGCATTAGCACTTGAGACGAAAACGATATTTCTGCCAGACGCCAAAGATGGTCAACAGCGGCGGAAAATTCCGGACGTGCGGGCATTAAAAAGGGAAAAATTGATTGCTTCCAGTAAAACTAAAATGAAGACAATATCTAAATGACAAATGACAAGGCACCTTACAGATAATTGTTGTGGGTCGGTTCATTTTCTCGGAAGCCTAGTTTACCTAGCGCACCCGGACATCTTTGTAACGACTTCTTACCGTCGCTCCAGACGCCCTGAAAAATGGACTTGCACCGTAATTTTGTATAAGTATGACCAAACCTTTCTTTGTTACCCATTCCT